CTCCGAGTAAAAAAAGGAAAAAAGATGGTTAAGTCAAGGAACCCGATGGGTCAATAGGAAATCTACATCTACGAGAGGTAGGAATAGTCAATAGTCGAAAGAGGACCAAAGCACACGTACTAGACGTGGGAAACAAGACGAGAAGAGACAGGCGTCAGGTGATGCTGTCAGAGTGTGGAAATTGCGTTCAGAAATCAACACTGCGACTAAATTCTGTCACTGTAAATCAGTTGGATTGGAATGTGAATTTCGATTATGCATTGATTGGAAAGTGAATTTTGGTTATGCATTAATTGATTACATTTAATTTAGTAAATCTGTTGGATGAAAAGTGATTTTCTTTTGATCATATAATAATTGATTAAATTTTATCATTATTTATTGAAAAGGGGACTCGTTGTTGTTTCTTTTCTTTTATTAATTTGCTCAGCTGTCTATAATACTCCATCTATCCGTCCACACTGGAAAATAACACTGTAGGAGATCATTCCCTAGCTAACGAACGACGAATCAATTAAAAAGGGTTTTAATGTTTAAAATTTCTCCGTTACACATTATAAATACAGGTTTGGTACTGTGGTCAGTATCCATTGTACACAGGTTACTTAAATGGAATTTTGGTTGCCCAGATAAGTCAAGAGATCGCGGTAGCTCTCGCTTAAACACCGCTAGGCTTAGGTGAATGTCTGTGCGTATGTGTGTGATAGTATAGAGCTTACAGAGATAAGGGTAAATCATTATCCTGATTGGTGCAGGTCCAACAAACATAACTCGGAATAGGAGTTTGACAAATCCTGCATTAGAGTGTTATGATAGCTCTTCAGAATTAATGAATTTCGTTCCATTTTCAAAAATCAATGTTAAATCTATTGCGTTTAGTTTTTGGTTTTTGAGGGTTTTTTTAGTGGGTTGTTTTGGCATGTGATTATAAACAACCACATGATACTGGTCTATAATTGCTTACATTTTGGTAAATTCCTAGGACCTTTTTTGGTTTCCAATCCATTTCCAATGCTATACGGTCACGATTTGCTTTAGTCAACTCATTATAACATCGCGATAACAAGACTTCCCTATTTTCACACTGATCAAATTATACAACTCCAGACAATGTTCCCATTCGAATTTCAAACACTGTAATCGCGAGCCTTTTCTTCTCTTGAACACTCACCTTTGTAGCCAAACAAAGTGTGAAAAGCTTTACGTGGAAATGTTCCTTTATAAACTGCTACATTTTTTGTTTCAACATCGTGTCCAATCCTCTGTATCTTAAAGTAACAATCATGAAGAGAGGCGGATGTCACTGACAATCGATAAAGATACAAATTTAAATGCGTAGAAATAAAAATGTGATTACTAAACATGTCAACTATATTTGCTCAGTAAATAGTGACGATGAACCTTGATCTTTTATTAAAATGTTTACGACTGTATATAATGCTCTAGCATTACGGCAATTGGCGAACAAATATATAAGCCATGAATCAAGTAACTTTCTTTATCAGTCTATTTATCTTTTTATTTATAATATCGATTGGCATGAAAAAGTGATTCCTTGTGTTAAAATATATTGAAATGTTTGTTACTTGCAGGCTAGTTCAAAAGTAACAAAAGAAAAGAGTAAAGCTAACAAGCTTTGCAAAGTTGAACAAAATAATTTATTTTCATAGAAAACAAGGTAAACGTATGAAAGAGGACTTACGGTTTGTGAATATAATCCAAACAGTAGTCAGAGAATCGAAAAATATAAGTCCTAGCACTGAAAGTTCTAATTTAACTCCAGGTTCGAATCTCTATGAAGTTCCAATATTGAAAACGATGAAGTCAGATAAGGTCGTTGTACTGATGGAAGCAGTTCATCGTTGAACACAATTTAAAATAATCTGTTTTAGAACTCCAGAAAAAATTCCACTAAATGTCTTTGTCCAAGAATTGTTATAAACAAAAGCACTTATTTTGTTTCCCAGAGAATATGAATTATTAAATTATAAAAGAAGAAATTTAAAATCAAACTGGCATCAACAAAAAATAACCGTGAGCTCTAACGGTGTAAAAATATAACTGAAAAATCAACTAAAAAATGGCTGTTTAAGCAGCGATTTTAGGTCACTTAGTGGCTCCCGTGACGGACAACGTTTTCACAAATTTGAACAGCACAATAAAAGCAATGCCATTTATCACGTAGGCTAGATAGCCCTATCTATAAAAAAAAAACAGATTCTCACGCTAGAAATGAATAATAAAAAAACTGTTTACAACATGGGTAACACGTTTGCCGAACATGACCTTGGTAATGGCCAATCATTTTCACTCGATGCTTACCATTTTGCGAATCAAGGTCGGATAAAAATAAAAATAAAAATGTAGTTACCGTATTATTTACTAGAAGTGAACGGGATTTTCCGAAATAAATGTCAAATCCAGTGAAAATTATCATTGCAGTAAAATATAATAAAAACAGAAACAAAAAAAAATTTATTTAAAACCAATGCACAAGCAATTTAATTACACATTCGTAACACGTTAAAAGAGAACTGATTATTCATACCCTTTTTTAAATGTGAAAGCGGCGATTATTTATTCTCATCGAAACTTGTTGAAATCTGTTCAACATGTTCTGTTTAACGCATGTTCATATATATATATATATATATATATATATATATATATATATATATATATATATATATATATATATATATATATATATATATATATATATATATATATATATATATATATATATATATATATACAGAGACCAGTTGATAAGGAGTCAGTGTTATAACGTAGAGGAAACAATTTCGTTTGTATTGGATTGATTAAAATATAATATTTGTACATTGAAAGCACTGGTGTAGTTCCATTCAGATCATGGTAAACATTTTTTTTATGTAAGTTTTTGTCGGTTTACATCTGTAAATAAATACTTGAAAATACTTGTTTTCTTTGTACTGTTGAGGAGACTCCAATAATTATTACCTATATTGCTTCTTTTATGTAGTGAAGTCGTTTCTTTAATGTGTGAAGAAGTGACTGTAATAAAGTTTGCAAAACCACACACACACACACACACACACACATATATATATATATATATATATATATATATATATATATATATATATATATATATATATATATATATATATATATATATATATATGTGTGTGTGTGTGTGTGTGTGTGTGTGGTTTTTAACGACACTTTTAACACTTTTGGCTTGCCGAGGAAATGAGAGCTATGTGCCTTTCTCATGGACGCAACTAGACAGCCTAATTAAGAATTACTTCGTGTTTTATACATATAATATTTCTCTTCAATTCTTCAGATTTAAATTTCCTAAGTTCCCCGATTGTGTAATTTCTTTCACGCAATCTGCAGATGATGTTGAGGATGATGATGATGATGATTATTATTATTATTATTATTATTATTATTATTAGTAGTAGTAGTAGTAGTAGTAGTAGTAGTAGTAGTAGTAGTAGTAGTAGTAGTATTAAGCTAAAAAAAATCCTTAAATTACACCAACTGTAACTTTAATTAGTTTAATTATAGCCAATTTAGCGAGTTCTTAAAACGAAATAACATTACCTATTTTTTAAATACGATTAATTTAAAGGTTATTGAAAATAATTTCGTCACCAGTGATTGCCCAGAGCAAAAATATGGAGAAACGCGTTTTATTTGACAGCAATTGTTTAGCGCGAGCCAAACACTTCGTTTAGCCATCTGTTCACATTTTGCGTCTGCGCAACTCCAAGTGCGTTGAGTGAATCAGACGACAGTGAGGAAATCAGTATCACATATGGCGCCTGAATCTTGCTTTTGTGGTTTTGTGTCGAAGTTCAAGTAGTCGACATTAGTTGGAATATATGCAGTTTAATCTAATTATGCTATGTACTTTAATTATACAATTTTTCCAATTAAATATTTGAGTGCCGGAAGCCACAATTGTTTTTCTAAACACGGTTACACTAGAGCAGTAGAGATAGCTTTTTTTAGGGTTTGGAAGAAGGCAAGCATGCAAAATGACAAAATTTGACGCGATGAGCAAAAGTTGAAGTAATACAGGTGAAAGGATAGTAAATTAAACATGACTGTAATTAACAGAGTAGAGTTAGATCGAAAGAAGAACAAAATACCAAAGCACACCTAACAATGAAAGACAAAAAGTGGTGGGGAATAAATCATATATTGTTTGAGCAATTAATTTCCCACCTTGCATCTATCCTAATTTCCTTTTAGCTGGCTATTTTAATTCAGATTTTATCCAGGTTATGTTAATTAATTTGTTTTAAAGCTGACTTGTGAATGTAGATTTTCTCTAATGATCTCTGTTGCATGTTGAAAGATGTGTTTGTGTGTGATTTGGATTTTTAGCGTAGCTTTAACACGTTTTCAGTCATATCGCTACGATATTTTCAGTGTGGTTTATGGTATCACGGTACCAATTGCTTTTCCATAGACCGCAATGCTAATGTTTTGCGAAATAAATATACTTTCTATCCTACCTCAGCATGCATGTCACACACTGTCACAGAGAACAATGTTAGATTGTTAATTTGATAACATCGAAAATAGGTACTCCATTGCATTTAAGAGAGATAACTCTGCTGGAACTAGACAGGGGTAAAAAATTATCTAGTTACACCTGACACATTTTCAGTCATGTGTACCACATTTTAAAAAAAATCTTAAAAAATACAAAATGTGATCTATATATGAATTAATATAATTTCACATGTTGCCAAGAGGCTCAACTTTTTTTTAAAGCCTAACAGAAAGTACAACTCTTACATAATGCACCAATCACAGCTAGTTTTGTCGTTTATTTCTGAATGCAATGTTCCCTACACCTTAAGCTCCGCCCACCTGGGGTTGTACAATTGGTACCGTTATACCTTATGGCGATGTCTAGCACATGCAGCAAGAAGTCACACCCAGTCACATTATCCTGACACCATGCCGACCAGTACCAGTTTTATAAGTCTTTGATATGACTCGGCAGAGGTTTGAATCCCCGACCTCTCGCATCCAAGACAAACGCTCTAACCACTAGGCTATATGAGCCGTTTGTTGAAAGATGGGAAGCCGTTGTGGCTCAGTAGCCGTTTGTTGAAAGACGTAGAAGCCGTTGTGGCTCAGTAGTTATCCAGTCGATCTCGTAACCAAAACGGTACGTTTTTGGATCATATATAATTGGATCGACCTAGTTCGGTTTCTGGTGAGTCCTCGTGAAAATCACTATACTCCAATTACCTCGGTTCTAAAAAGACCTTTTTGTTTTGACGAGCCGTAAAGCAACAAACAGTTTTTCTAAAAATTAAGTCAATGATGATGTGTTGAACTAATTTATATGAATCATGTTTTGCTGTTCTGCGGCACTACATCCCAAAAGTGGCTATGTATAATAGTGCCAAAGTTTGAAAAATGCATAAATGAATTGACTGAAAATTATAAACATAAACCCTTTTAAATAATTGTAAACATGAAGTAGAACAAGATAAAATATCAAACGTAAAGATGATAAGATTTTGTAAAATATAAGTAAACTAAAAGATAAAGGCATTACACGAAACCTGATTAGAATTTGTTGTATAAACGGCATTTCTTAAAACGTGGAAGACGTTCTCGGGTGAAGTTTCTTCCATCTGTATACGTCAAACTATTTCAGTCTCGCAGGATACAAAAATGTGTTTGAGTCTGTGGACACTAGCAATATACGCATTCCGGTCTAAGTAAGCCTTTCAGGAGATATACATGAGTCGTGTATATGTGTCAGATCCACGATCAGCAGAAAACCACTTCAGGTCTCAGATTTGTTTCATTCAAGGGACGACACTCTCCAACAGTGGGGTTACGGTTATTGACTTTGTGGAATTTTCGTGACATATTTTGCCCAGTGTGACGATTAAATTTATACGATTTTTTAAGTCAGTATGTTGATTCTTCCATTCAAAAACGGGGTGACGGATTGACAACTTTGGGTTCTTTTTCAGCTCTTTCGTTATACTTTGTACCGGTATGATTTGGCAAGGAAATATGAAACTTTATTACATTCAGGTTGTACAGTGTATACATGTATAAGAAACAGAACACCGATATAGTGCAATATCATCATGTAATGCTTAACAGCGATCGCAAAATTCTGAAAATACATTCTAAAAACCTGCGAATACTTTTCAAGAGTTAAATGTTAGCTTTATTCCTTAACTGATTATAGTTATAAATGTTAGTCATAGAAATGTAGAAATCCTGTATTATAAAATTTTGTCTTTTATCATGGAAATAAGAATATAGTGAAATTCATCACCTGTTTCGTACGATTGACTGAGTGTACAATATCTTGTATGATATGGAACAGTCGATCATCTACCAGTTGCAGCAGGAAACCTGTTTGTTTGCGCAGTTCTAAACTAAATTAAGTTGTTATATATATTTTGTTGCCAGTGAGAAATAGATTTTTTTTCTAAATCCAAACTAGCTTTAAATAACCTGTAATAAAGACCTTAAAAGGCATAATGATATTAGTTCCCCAAACGTAGTTGTAGTTCTACAGATTTTGTTAGCATTTAAATGATACAAAACTTTGATTTTCCATGCGTTGCTAAACACAACCTCATTCAATACAGCTTTTACTTCTATTATCCATTTATTGTAGTCGGAAGAATCACAAATATGTTTGAAAGAGAATAGATAAGTCATTTTTCTTCATAACCACTAACCAATCTAGCCCAATAGTTTTAATATTAACAATTAAGGGGAAACAACCATGCTCACTGTATTCCATATATAGAAGGATACAATACATATTTGTTTTGGTTTTTTTTACAAATATTCTTCGGATATGTTTAAATCGATACATTGGTCTGATCGAACAGTTACATCTCACAAATCGACAGGCCAATCTAAATTGCATACACACCTTTAAAGTAAACGTACAGCTTTATTATCTATGGATGCTAGATTTTTCAGGAGCTAGGCGAATAGTTCATTCATGTGAAATATTAGACATAGGTATTATTTATATTTATATGCACCATTATTATAGAGCATTTTAATCTTAAATTTGTATGTGTGATTTTTTTGTGACCAAATACAATCAGCTTGCTAGGAGGGTACATCACGATCTCTCCCATTTACTAGTAAAATCGATTCTATGTCATTTAGTAATTATGACAACAATAATGGAGATCAAGTTTCCAATAGTCTTCATTTTTTTACACGAGAAAATAAAAACAACAGAAAATTATTTATTTGCACCCTTGAATTGATATGATTATAAATACTTGATATAACATTAATACACTTTCTCCTTGTGCCGATCAAATACATTTTTTGTTATATACCAATTCCCCATGCATTATCAAAGGCACTTTTAAAATCTACAAAAGTATTTTCAAAAATTCTTGCAATGCTTAATAACTTCATTGAGGCTGTACATACGAAATATATTGTCTATTGTACGATGGCCAATCCTGAATCCAGTTTGAGTCTCAGATAGTAATTTGTTATCATCAATAATTTAATATTAATTTTAACTGAGCGGTAAAACTTTGCTAAGAAAACTAACTAAAGTAATCGGTATATGATTTGACCTATCGGTCTTATCGTCATTTTTTTTCATGAAGTGGCACGATAACACCTTTAGTCCGTCGGACAGGTACGAAGCCAGTAATAGCGATTACATTGAAAAGTTTTACAAATTTAACATTACAGCATTTGAATTTTTATGCAATTATTTATAATAATATCAAGGGCTTTGTTATTTTTTTTAAAATTGTTAACAACGTTTAATATTTCCTCAGCTGTAATTAGCTTATTCAGACACGAGTTATCAACAACATCCGTGGGGCCCTGAGTGGCCGAGTGGTCTAAAGGGCTGTCCGTTACGGATCACTGCCATCTCACCTCTGTCTGCGTGGGTTCGAGTCTAGGATTCGGCGAATGTGGATATGTGAGAAAGCTTGTTAGTAGCTTCTAGTGGGTCGGTGGTTCATTCCGGTGATCGCCCGGTTTCTTCCTACACTATTACTACTGACCGCCATGTATAGCCTATCGTGTGCTGATAAATGGCGTTAAGCCCAACAACAACAACAACAACAACCGCGGTTTGCATTATTTCCGGGATTACACGCTCCACACATTCTATAGCCACTAAAATATTCAAAACATTTTTGCAATGCCATACTTTGAAGAGGTCATATTTTTGACCGACATTATTTATCACATTCCATGTCTTTGAAGGGTTTAATTGCAAAGTGCGTATTTTCTTTTGCAATGAATTTTATAATAAGAGTATTGATTTACTAGATTTTCTTGTACTGTCTGATGGGCTTTAGCTTTATTTGCTGGGCTTTAACATAATAGCTCTACTTGTTGGGCTTTAACATACTACCTTTACTTGCTGCATATTTTTTTCTACTTTCGTGAACCTGCCTATACAAGTGGTACTATTTTTCAACTTTTAAGCACTTACTGCCAAACCATGGCTTCAAGTAAACCTTTTTTGGCAGAACTTTCACATTTTTGCTCTTTATGAGAAAATGTCAGGATGGCAGATCAAATAAAGCCTTTTTACTTATTTCGCTGATGATTCTGTTGCAGTCAACATTACATAATACTTTTCCCAGATTGCACGATATTGTGTTTCTGTATTATCTGGGTTGTCAGAATGAAATTTTGCAGGGCTTTCATTTTGGAAAGGGAATTCAAAAAGATCTGAACAATTAGGGGATTAGTTGGGGGAGCTTTGGAAAAAAAAGTTAAGCAATTACCTTTTATAAACATTTTCCATTGAAGCGCGAGTAGTAGGAGAAAGTAAGAATCCGAGCTCAACAACCCCCTCCAGACCACCAAACAAATACAAAATACCTAGGTAACGTAATAGAAAACCTATTGCAATCAATAATTGCGTTAAGAATCCGAGCTCAACAAATACAAAATACCTAGGTAACGTAATAGAAAACCTATTGCAATCAATAATTGCGTTAAGAATCCGAGCTCAACAACCCCTCTAGACCTCCAAACAAATACAATAGAACACCTGTTGCAAAATACCTAGGTAACAGGTAAAATTTAATTACGTGATCTTCCAGAATAAGCAGAATGATATGTCAGACTCAATTTTTCAAATCATTACGATTTAGCAGAGCGTGGCGATTGTGGACTAAATTATGCATTAGAATTTCAGTAAGGTAAGTGGTATTATATAAAATTTTATGTTATATCATACTTCTTTTGATAATCTTTCTCATATTTGCCGATCCTCATGGGTAGAATATCTGTTAACATGTTATCAATAATACGAAATTCACGTATTAAATCGTCCATACTATATTTTACTCCTCGTAGGTAAGATCTTATTTGATCAAGTAGTTTTTTGTAAGTTATAATTGATGTTAAGCAGCCGTGCTTTTTAATCAAAATTTTAGGTTCAACTTTTTTACAAGCTGCTGTAAGAGAAACACCAACACCGGATATGATTAACAAAAACGGGTTTAATGATATACCACTTGAAATTATGCCAGAACTAGTCATTAACAAGGGTAGATATGATATTACTCGAAGTATTTTGTTATAATATTTGTAACATTTTTTTACGCACCAAAGTTTTTTGTGATAATATTTGTAGTATTGTATTAGTGCGTCAACATCCTGTTCTGGAATATCTTTTGAAATATGATTGAAATCAACTATACTTTTTTTCATTATAATATTTGTTCACATAATCTCAGGCTTGATTAAGTAACTAGTTGAGGTGTTTCAGCCACAAATTCCAGACAATACCAATATGACGCAGCAGTTAATTTTTTGTCATCTGCTATTAGCATAAAAGTTTCTTCAACATCTTTGTTTAACACAATAGACACAGTTCCAGAGAAATTATCAGTCGAGTGACGCCATGGAAATAATGTAAATATATTAAACTTTGCACTGCTCAACACGGACAATCTATACACACCAGTGACCTCTGCAGTATGTTTGAGAGTGTTATTTTGCGGCGACCAAGTAGACATTCCAGAAGCAACAGTATAGACAATATTTTTAATCTGCTTGTGAGGAATTTTA